GGGAAAAACTACGGTGTGGCCTGAAACGTTAGGCTACAACTATTCGCCGATCTATGTGTCGTGTACGAGAAAGTGTTCCGTCTTTGGGAATTCCTAGGAAAGTGTCTCTCCTTTTGCATTTGAATTACCGATACAAGATTTACACAACAAAAAAGCACTTCACCCTGCTTCTATTCCCTGCCCGCAGGGCATCGAATGCAAGACCACATTCCTGAGTTCTGCTGAACAATATCGTGCTTTAGCAAATTTTCCACAATCCTTAGGTAAATATGTAAGAAAACTAAGTCCTGATGTACTGGGGTTGCATTTCAGTTATGTGCCAGATTTATTCCGCAAAATCGAGTCGTGTTCCATACCACTGGGGCCGTATTTCATCTCGTTCTGTCTTAAGAGCAAAATTGACCAGATTTCACACTAAAATTCACCAGGTTTCACTTTTCGATCGATAGGACATTTAATATTTTGAACGCGCCCTTTTTGACACTAGGCTTTCAACGTACTGGAAAGGAAGGTGTTGCCCAAGGGAGTAAGCGAGTCCTCAGTTTTATTCTTTTCTTTGAGAAACAGTAGTGTGTGCTTGAGAATGAGGAAAATATATCATGATAAAAAGGAGTGTGAAGAAATGAAAAAAATTAATAATAGGAAGCGAGGCGAGATTTGTACCGTTGTAAGTGACAGATTATGGCTGAGCACGGAAACGAAGACGACAAAAAAGTGACACTGGGATGCCGATAAGTCAGCCATGTCTGTTAATAACTTCTCTTCGCGTCGCTCAACAAAGAAACAGGCTGTCGTGTCGAAAGGCGACCACCGAATCGATGGGCGTCTGTCTGGTTTGGCAAGACGTCTGCTAAAGCAGGATGAACAGCCGAATCGATCAGATCGCTGGTCTTCGCCCACCGTAGTTATCCGCCCTCGTCATCGCCTCTGTTGATGTCACCGGTGGGACTGGTGACGAGCCCTGAGACATCGGCGTAGTGATCGAACGAAACAACGCGCTCGAATAGACGTCGTCCACTAAGCGTACGAACTTATGAAAGGCGAACGTTCTTCCCTCAGACTTCCGGTCGGCTTTAGTCACGCACTGCTTTAAACCAAACACTATTAAAGTGTCAGTCTCGAACTTAGTGCGGGAGGTATCAGTTCGAAACGTCTAAAAACTGGTCTGCAGGGCGAACGCCCTAATCTAAATCGTTCAGCCTTGATAATCAACTAAAGAAAGTAAAAAGAGACCGGCACAGTGATGCCGTTATTTGAGAGACGACCGTCCGTTGGAGGAGAAGTGACAGCTCTGCTTCCTCGTCCATCCTGACACTGTCGTCCGGAAGCCGCAGTGTTCTTTCGAAATATGTTTCTGAGAGAAAATCATTTTAGTTATGAAGATGAGAAGGAAATGAAAGTTTCTGTAACCTTCCTTGCACTATCCTGACCTGAATGGATAAGCGGAAATGAGGGACACTATTCGATTTGATACATAAAAATAAACACTGATCTTATCTGTTAACTAGCATAATGCTAGTTTTTGATAGCTTCGTTTAAAAAATAATATTTTTCTTTTACTACCAAATCACTGCAAATCCCGTAGTCAATTAAACACTTTATTTTTCTCAAGAGCAGTATCGAAAATTACCATACTAGTAAACGGGTAAAATCGATGTTCATTTCCGTGTACAAAAATGGCTACGGATAGTGGCATATCGGCTGGTGTCCGAATAGGATTTTATTCGGCCTCACCCAGTGATGCGGCTTTGAATCCACGCCTTAAAATGGCTCAAGTTCAGTGGAGCCGTGGTCTGCTGAAATGGTCCTTAAAATGGCTAGAAGCAAGACAATGGTGCCATTACGCCGCGTAAATTCGGTACTGAAAGTAAAATGTTAATATTGGATTCTGTTTGAGGGACAACATTTGTCATAACCGCGAATTCCCTTGAGCAGGGAACTTGCCGTACGTTTACTTCGTTCAATCAACCGAGAAACGAGTAGCAGATCGTTGAGTTGGGAACAAGTTGGGAACAAGGGATATTCTGGTGCAGTCATACAAACACGCTGTCTGAGGTAAGTGCCTCACTGGGGACCATTTTGCCTTGACCCACTCGATAGGTGCTTATTGAATGTGCTAATCAGCAAACGGTGTAGCCCTTATTGTAGTTGATTTGTTCGACTGCAATCAGAGGGAGGTAGTGCATTTCTGAATGAGACAGTTTTTACTACACGTGATAACGCAATCTTACGTATGCACTGTTGGTTATAGGCAAGTTTATCACGTCTTTCTGTACCGCCGCTAGAAACTGTTGCAATCAATATGCATGACGTCTGAAGATTAATTATTTGTACAAAAAAATTGCGCGAACCAAATTTCGCATGATTAGACACGAATATTTAGGCTGCGTATTAGTTTCAAAATATAATAGAATAAAATCTCCAGCAGAAAACTAACTCCATTGCTCAGTTAATTTACTTGCATTCCAAAGATACTTCCAAAATTTATGATAAAATATTAGCCAGTAGCGAAACGGCGAAATGTATATTCCTAAGACAATGCCGTTGCCCTCAACACTGATCAAGAATCCTCAACCACTGGGCTACTGAAACAAGTGCATCCGGGAGTCAGAAGATCCACATGCCTTTGAAAAAAACCATGAAAAGCGTATGAGCCGCTTGCATTCTAACTTCTGAACCTTCAACTGCAAGTTCGGTGCTGTACCGATTAGACAATTGACGTAGTTATAAAGGACCCTCCTGGGACACATCGAACTCTTCGATACGTTTCAAGTATAATTTTCCTCCAGCAAACCGGTGGACAGATGATCAAGCTTGTAAGTGATATTGAAAAAATGAGGAAAAACGGAGATAAGACATGGAAGTAGCCACAACGTAAGGTAAATTTGAAAAGCGGTATCGGTACTCGATAATTTAGCATAAAATAAAGTCAAGTCATCTGTACTGCTATAGTTGACAAGGCAAATCTACTTTTCAGCGGTAAAAAATTTCCTTCATACTTCATGACAGTATATTTGGTCCACTGAATTAAATTTTTCCGATGCCTTGTCCGTAATAATAACTTCAGCTAGCAGCAGCTTCGAATCATAAAGCCTCGAAGCACTCTAGTGAATTTACTGAACATCCAGATAGCCAACAGCAAACTGTTGACGCATTTGTCCATTTCAAAGAATTCATGGTGAAATATTTCAGATGCTTCCGATGGGACGAGGAAATTTCTGGAGTGCCTCTGTAATCCGCATTTCTGAATGGAATGAAACGCGAGAGGGAACAAGAAACGAGTAACGAAAGTGGAGTTTCGCCAGATTTTCGCATGACATGATGCCACTATTGCTATTTGTGACATTACGCATTTCTACGGCCGCATCCGACGCTTTGTCAGCGGACTCTCGCAACAAAATATGGATACGACCTTGAGGCTGTGGTAGAGGAGAGGCAACAACGTTTGTTCATAAATGGGCTCTAGGCCTGATGGAGCGGTCCTTGCCAATCCTGAACTTTTCCTACATGGAAATGTACCGCATACAGATTTGGGTAATCGCTACAAGGGGTCACTTCATGTCTGCTCAGGCAGAAGCGAACTATTCGTAAATCCCGAATACTCTCTAATAAGCAATATTTAGTCGCAGGCACGAGGAGGTTCAACTGTTGGAAACAATTTTGTCACGTGAATGATTTAATTTTTCTGATGTTTTACTTACATATGTAAAATGTGTTACACACGGATAAGTACGGTGGTTGATATATAAAGGTATAAGTTCCTGTCAGTTCGTGAAGTTTCAACTTTAATTAATAAATCCTCTTCCGCGAAATTTGTAAGGGCAAAGTTTCAGCCACACTTGAAACATCAGTGGCTCAGATTCCATGCTGTACTTGTTCACTAATCCTTCCTTTATCGTTCTGAAGTGCAAGAAGAGATATTGGTTCATGCAGGGATAGCAGGAGGCTATGCACTGGGATTTGTTTGCCAATTAACCATTTGTGCTGATGGCAATTACAGTTGCATAAGCAACTAGATTTGATTGGCTAATTGATATCACCTTAATAGTTTAGGAACTCCATGTCTAAACGGCGAAGAACAACGTCGAATCATAGATAACCCTCATTGCGGAAATATAGGGCAACCTAACATCTTAACAGTTACAAGTTTTCTTTCGTGTTCAGGGATTACTGCTGTGGAAAAGTGGAAGGTCGTAGTCTCGAACATCTTGGCCTGAGTCTTCTTCAGATTTCAATTTCAGTCCTACTTAGATGGTCGCGTGGCTTACCTGTTGATCTTTGCTAGAGTTCTTCTGATGACCTTGAAAGCACAAGAATATTGTATGCAAACCGCATATAGCTTATGGAGTGCCCATTTCTGCTGAGGCCAATATTTTTCCTGTGGAGTTTCTTGGAAACCTCATCTCGACTGATGCGAATAACGCGTCAGTGATATTGCATCACCATGTCTAAAACTCTTTCATTTTTTGAACTAGTTTGTGGTGCTTTTGTGCAGCTTCGCACTTCACCTGGATAAAGTGCGTTAATCTTTCTCGATTCCTGGTTTCTGAACGCATCCAGAACGGAACGGAAGTAAAGAGCCTCGAAAACCTCGAAATCGAAGGAAGTTCATATTCGTAGCTTGTGTGAATTATCCGTCATACCACCTTCAGATGATTCCTTACCTGCTTACTCCTTTGGCTTGCAGCGTCCGGCTTTTCTTGAAGTCTGTTTGTCACTAGTATTGTGAAGTTCTTGACGACGGTGGCAACAAACAGATCAGCCTGTAATTCTTCTAACTCCCTCTGCCTCTGTGGAGTATAACCACTCATGCAGCAGTCCAACCAGCTGGAATATTCCGTTGCTTAATG